TGGGGTATCGAATCTGGTGAAGAATGAGTGCATGAACGCTATGCTTCTAGGGGATATGGATATCTCAAGACTAATGAGTCATGCTCAGCAGGTTGAGGGAGATAAGCTTAGGGAATTGGCTAAGGATAACAAGAAGTCCAAAAGAGGAAACTATGAATACTCACAACCAAATTCATACGGTGGGAATCTCTCACAATTTCAGTAGAGGTCTACTGCCCTAGCAACTTCATCAACTAGTGCTCCATCCCCGTAGGTTTCGACAAGATCCGAAAAGTAGGGCATCAGGCTCTAAATCTCAAGGGAGTGCTTCAAGTAACATGACATACCCAACATGTCCAAAGTGCATTGCATGCATAGTGGGCTTATAGAGTTACTTAACTCCTCTTTTGATGTTTGAAAATGTCCTAGCTTGGAGTTGATAATTCCTCCTTGGTTGATTGCATTGCATCATAGGTTAGGTTGTCAGTTCCTCTCCTAATCTTTTAGGACTTGTTAAAATCTTATTCGACAACGAATGGTCCCAAGGGGGAGATATTGTAATACCCCGTTTCCAAAGATAGACATTTTGCAGCTTTCCAGGTGTTGGTGCACCAAACCACGCTGGCCACCAACGGCCCGTGGACGATACCACGGATCGTAGGCGTGGTCCGTAGTTGGAACCCAAGAATACCAAGTTTATAACCCCGATTGATGGCCCACATGATAGTCCGTGGGTCGGACAGCGCCCCATCGATTGGGTTCGTCATTGGGCACTCAAAAATAGTCCAATCCTGGAACACGGAAGGGATGTACGGATCGGAGGTCGGTCCACGCCCCGTGGTACAGTGGCCATAGGTCAAGGCCACATTCTCTGACCATCAACCACGGCTCACCAGGATGGACCGTAGGTCCATCCACGGTCTCTCGACTGGGTTCGTAGATGGGTTGGCCGGAGGCTACTGGCAGTTTAACTTATGAATAATAGGGTCTTTTCCTATTAATGAGTTCCTATACTTCGTCATTTTACCTATATTTAGAACCCCTATATAAGCCTTTTTAACCCTTAATTCACCCAATTTATTTCGTTCTTCCTAAATCCGTAAAGAAAACCAATTCCTCTCAAATATTCTAGTCTCTCTAGAACTTGAAGAAGAAAAAGTTGATTTCACCTAGGGTTTCAAGCTAAGGATCCAAATTCTCCATTGCAGATAGGCAATTGGACTTGAGGTATGGTAGCTTTCATCCATTGGTTCCTTCCACCCATGGTGTCCCCAAATTCCTCTACTTCAAATGATAGGATTCCCCAATTAGTTAGGGTTTTCCTCAAACATCATGGGTTCTATTGATTATTGATCTTAATGATTGAATCATGTTTAAATATGTATGAATTGATGATTTACAATGCTTTTATGATGTTTCCCCTATGAACCCATGCAAACCCTATGCTTTCCAAATTGTGATCTCATAGATTTGGGTGGTTGATTATGAAAGATGAGTTTTATAATCTAAAGCATGAAGTAATACAATTACATGAATTTATTATAAAATCCCAATGTAATGATAGAATTCTAGATTTGGTGATTGAAGTAATGTTGAACCTTGAAAGGGAAATATATGAGTATGCATGATCTTATGAAACCTATGTGAAGGCTTTAAGGGTGCTTTGAGAGTAAAGTGCCAATGTTGTTATTTTTGTTGTTTTGAAAGGATATTCTTATAAAACACTTTCAACCATGATGTGAAGGGTTTTTTCACAGTGAAAGGATTCATAAGATTAAAGGCTATTCTCACCTAATTGAATCAATAAATAAGAGGTATCCTAATGAACTAATTGATTGGAAAAATGACATGCCTTTCCATGGATAATGAGAATAAGTAAGAAAATACTATTTTGTGGGAATTATGCTTAGCACCCAGTGGATATTGACCTTGAGATGGAAGCTCTCCTCTGAGTAGGTCGGGTTTCTAGAAGAAGTCTCATGAGATGGAAGCTCACCCGTCAGTAGAGCCAGGGTTTCTAGTAGCAATCTCATTATACCTTAACTATGTGCCCCCATAGGTTTATTAGCTAGTAAATCCACTTAAGCTAGATGTTAATGGTTCTACCTTAGGAAAGTAGAACAACCCTTTTTGGTGTGGGAGACACTAGGTGATCATATTTTAGCTCACATGGTCTCTATGTCGGTTAAGGCTAATTCTTCCACAACATGATGACTAATGAACTAAGGTTACTCAAAGAAGTATCTCATATGTGTTCAAAGACTTAAAGATGATTTCGTTTGCATTGACTATGATGCTATTACCTATGTTTTCCAACTATTTCCACTATGATGTTTAAACTTTGTAAGTTGCTTATCATGAAATGACATTTCCTTTTTAGCATGTTATAAATGTTTTTATGCATAGTTATCATGGTGAATTTTTGTACTAACACATACTCTTTCCTAAATTTTCCCAAATGTACACTACACCATTTTAGGCCTACGGCCACCTCCGTAAAGTGTAGCCTAAACTTGCAAAAAGTGTGGCCTTTGATAAAAGGCTACACTTTTGGACTTTAAGCAACACTTTTCCAGGGGTGCCCGAAAGTAGCGTTACCTTAGAGTTTAGGCAACATTTTTCAAGTGTTGCCTAATCAGCTACGCTTAAAAGCGTAGCCTAAAAGGCAAAATGGCAACGCTTTTAGGTACCTCAAATAGCAACATTTCTATCTCATACAACTACACTTTTAAGCATGGCCTTAGCTTCCTTATTGCCCACGATTTGGTAAGTGTTGTCTTTTCTATCTAATGTATGACAACACTTTTGAAGTGTAGTCCTTGCCCATGTGCATACCACAATTTACAGTCCTATGGCTACACTTTTAAGTGTGGCCATATCATTTTGGCTATAAAATATTTATATTCCACAATTTCTAATTAAAAAACCATATATTTGCAATAAATAATCTCAAGCATTAGATTGGCTCATAAGTAATTCAAATATATAGATTTGCAATAAACTTCAAAAGATAGTACGTACTTGTACGTACTTATACATACTAATACAACAATATTCTAAATATGTGTACACAATTGTTCAAAAGTACTCTTACAATAGTTCAATAAATTCTAGCAAAGAATATATTTCACAAAATCAAACATAATGTATTCAGACTTTTACAATAGTTCAAAAACTCTTTATTAGCCACTTCAATGAGATCAAATTTACGTGTAGCGACCCTTCAAATTTGATCACCTCCATTTCCCTACACATTTAGAATTTACGGCAAATCAGATTGCAACAATTATAGAAGAGGCAAAAGAGTTCCACATTCCACATTGCACAACAGTTCTGGATTTTAAATTTTTACGGAAAGATGTGGTCCAATTTGTGAAGCTGCACTATTTTTCCAACAACACCCTCATAATCACAGTTATCAAAAAACAGAGGAGCTATAAATATTGTTATTGCATTTAATGGGTGGTGATTTCCTTGTATTTCAACTCTCTTTTGACAGGTATGCTCACACTCAACATTAGCATCTTATTTCCACTCTCCTATTTTCTATTCCCCTATCCTAGTTTTAAAAGTTTTAGTCATTCCTAGTTGAATTTACCAAAAGCATATCATGCACACATGCCGTATGCCTCCTTTGCTAATTTCTCTAAGATATAAACTTCTATTTGCTTGATGATGGCCTAATAGATCTTTATGTTATGAGAGAACAGATGATACTAAGACCAAAGTTTCAGGGAATGCATATCCATTAACTTGCCAGAAATCTAGAAGTTACAACTTACAAACCCTTTTTGGGTCTTTTATTATTTCCTTCCGAAAAATAATGTTTTGGAAGGGACATAAAATGAGTCAGCTGCTTGTTGAGTTGATTTGTAAAAGACATCAAAAGTAGATGTTTAGCTATATGAATCCTAGATGTTAAAGATAAGCACGAAACCTTATAAAACACAATTATACATCAATTCAAAACTAGTTGCTTTAGCTATAATGAATCCTCAATATTCATATTCATTTCAAAACCTGATGGATTTCTAGATTCCAGATTTCCAAATTGCAGATTTCCAGATTTCAAATTCCAGATTCCAGATTCCAGATTTCCAGATTTCAGATTCCAGATTCCAAATTCCAAATTTCCAGATTTTAGATTCCAGATTCCAGATTTCCAGATTTCAGATTCCAGATTCCAAATTCCAAATTTCCAGATTTGATCTTGTCCCAACCATTTTTGCGACTCCAATTCACTACCAGCCCATGACTTCTAATCATCCAATCTAGAAACCCAACGCAAATGTAGAATTCACATGCTCATCTACTTGGGATCAAATTGCAGAGAAAAGAAACAAGCTCACAATTTTGATCAACAACATTCAAGTGTTTCTGTTGCTATAAACTAGCAAAAGACATCATTGATCACAATTTTTTGGCAGGGCACTTTGCTAGAAATATCTAAAATATTTATGTTGATTCTCTAGTGATTGAAAGTAATTATAAACCTCTTAGAAATATGATTATGAGATGGTGGACTACTATCCAATCGTATACAAAAAGCTGGGAATTTTTTCACCCAGTGCCTAAACAATTCAGACTTCTTTACAAATTAATCAGAAACTTGTTCTTTTTAGTAGAATGCTAAAAAATTGTGGCATCTCAAGTATCTTATGTTCATCAACTATCAATTGCATAGTAGGTCAGTTTATAGAGCATTCAACATCTCACTGTTTGAAGCCTCTAGAACATCTTGCATTTCTTGCACTAAACCTTCACATCCCCTTCCGATCTTTCCACTAAACTAAAATATTACTACAAGAACTAACCTGTAACATTCCGAAGAGGTAGTCACCAAAAGTAACTCCAGGTTCAAGCTCCCAATCATGACTAGGGGGCTATCACGCAATACTTCAATAAATGTTGCAAAGAAATTGTGCACACCATCTCGTAGTTGTTGAATATAGCTGGAAACAAGAAACAGAGGAAACTAAATTTTCGGTGAAACAGTGACCAGTTAGCAAAGTGGAAATGCATCTATTCTGTGTTGTTTTAATCTGAAAAAATTAAGCGCTGGAAACTATAGGAAATATATCCAGTTACTGTCAAGGTCAAACTCTTTCCCCAGAGACTCCATGACAATGTACTGTAAATACCTACTAAATAGTAATAAACTATCCTTGTATGGGAGGACAAGCATATCCTGCAAGAGATAAGAAACAACATATCAACATAGTCAAATACACAACTATATGTTCCTCCGACATCACAACCACAAATCCGAAAGTGAACTAGACCTTTGATCCAACTCCATCAGCTCCTATAATTCTACAAGGAAATTTATTTCAGTTGTTTGTACTAGGTAGATTTACTAGTCTGAAAACTTCAAATAAAAAAGTCTTTTATATGCCTAAAGAACATGAAAAAGGCAATATAGTCATACCACAGTGGTCCTATTTGCTTCATCCATCAATGTAGCACCAGCGAGCATCTCTCTAATATCAATTCCCTAGAGTGAAAAGATATATGTGGCGTAATGTGACACAAATGTTGTAAGACAAGATGAAATAATTCCCTGTGTTTCATTCTATGCGACAAAGTCTAGCTTACTTTGGATTGTAAGTGTTGTCCTACTTAAATAATACATGCTAGGTAAAATTAGAAGTTTTAAGAAGTTATGGAGTTGTATATAAGTTAATTTGATAAAGACAATATCACACCAATCATCACATTTATTTACACAAATGAATTTGAATTTCTGAAACCTGTGAGAGTTGCATGAAATATTCTTTCTTCTAGAATTGTGTCGAGAAGTTTGGGAAGTTTAAAGTAGTGAATTGTTATATATAAGCAAACTGAGATTAGAAATGTGACTTCAGGAGTGCCAAACCTGAAGTGCATCTGGAAGTAAGCCAACTGCAGACATTCCAGAGGTTCTTTTGCCCACCCAATCAAACATAGGGAATCCGGCTAACAAACCCTCAATTCTAACAGTGTTGTTAAGCAATGAGTTCAATTGTGTAATGGCAATACCCTGCACATGAGTGGTAGTAAGCAACAATGAGAAGTGAGAACTATTTAAGAGCAATGCTATGCACATCCTGCAATGTATATTATAATGGAGAGTGAACAAAAAGACAGAACTAGAGGATCACAGACCAAGCAGAAACTTTTCGTAGACCTACTAAAACTCCTAAACCAGTAGATGCAGATTAAACAGAGGTAAACAGTCATGTTTTTAACTCTCTTGTATAGAACTTTCATTTTCTTAACAAAATGCGATACTTATCAGAAAGCTACTCCACATTATGGCTAAAAAAAATAAACGCACAAAAAAGAACCTGAGGTCAAAACCTGTTTTGAAAATATCAAGTCGGCTTCACGGAAGGCCTTCTGAATCAATGCCTGCTGGATTTGTGTTGTCGATAAATCTTATCTGACAAGAAATGATAAAGCATGGTATAGACAAAGAGAGAGATGTGAGAGAAATAGATAAAAAGGTAAGCCAAAGTACTACACATGTATACAATAAGGAAGACTTATTCTGAACTATGTAAAAAACAATTTATATTTTAAATCCTTCATAATTAAGTTTCCAGCACAAGTTCTTTAGCATCGTTTGACTTTATCTACACTCTTAATGAAAAGAAAACAGTTCAGTGGAGAACCTCATTAGTGCTTGTCAAAAAAGAGAACAATATCATCATGATCACTACAGATGCAAGAATAAGGCGTCGTTCTTCAATATGTGAGGGATCGTTCTTGAGAAATTTCAGACTTGGAGAAGAAGGCGTCGTTGCTTTATGTTTGAGGATTTCAGACTATGAGAAATTTCAAACTTGGAGACCTAGAAATTCGGCTTGGAGAAATTTCAGACCTAAAAATTGTGATTTTTTTCTGATTTGGGGGAAAAGATAGATTTATGTTTTATGAATTGTTTTTTTTTTTTGTCCAATAAAAATTGGAGGGAGAGTTAAAAATGTTGGAGGGAATATAATATTTTAGTGAAAACTTTAAGGCTACATTTATAATGTGTTGTTTTTACAATTATAAAAATAGGACACTTTAAAAGTGTGGCCATATATCTAAATAATTGTTGCCAATTATATCATATTGTAACAACGCTTATAAAGTGTAGCATATAACACTAAAGAGTACGCTTTACAAGTGTTGCCAATATTATCGAAGCCAAAAGTTAAGAACTTGGGCTACGCTTTAAAAGCGTCCCCAAAAATATTTTAGGCAACACTTTACAAGCGTTGTCCAGATTTAGTGTGGCCGTAGGCCTAAAATGTTGTAGTGGTAGGGTCTGATAGGCCGGGTCTCCAGTCTAGTGGGTAGAGCTTGGACTTTGATCTCTTTCCCAGCTTGGTGAGTCCTCAAGGTTCGAGGACGGACTTTCTTTATTGCAGTTTCACTTTCTTATTTGCTTTTGAACTTGATGTATGGGCTAGGCCCACTATTATTTCGATTGTAATAGATGGCTATGTTGAGACATGAGTTAGAATTCCGCTTTTCTATAAAGTTGTTTTTAGACATAAATGTTGTTTTATTCTTTATTTTTCTACTAGTTTATGTTATTATATGCTAAGTGGCTTGTATGGAGTCCTTCGGGGTTCTATATGCCATGTTACAACTAGGGGGTACCCCTGGGTCGTGACAACTACAAACCTTAGTATGAAGCTTTACTCCTACAATCATCACATATGCATAAATCTCAAGACATTCTAATCACATGCTTCATTCATAAGAAACCCTAATCATATAAGCTCAATGTCAAGCATTACTAATCATGATCCATCATGTATACTCTAATCTAATTCAATTCATGTCTATGTGCTTTACTCTCAAGAAAATTACTATACATTCATCAATCCTAGAGAATCATCTCTAAATCCTCAATTTCCCCTTCTAAGGCACAAAACCCGTAGAATTAAACTCACTGCTTATCACATGCAACCAAAGTGAACCAAATAGGATGATCTCTTTCATTCACTCTCTAGTACTACCACTTCTTCTTCCTCTTCTTCCTCTTCTTCCTCTTCCTCCTCTTCCTCCTCTTC